CCTTACGACTAGGAAATAATCAGCTGTTGCCGAACACACTCATGAAACCGGACATAAAAATGTATTCGATAAAACTAAAATTCTTGCATGTAATCAGTTCTTCTACCAACGAAAAATCCGAGAGTCTATAGAAATCTATAAAAAACCTAACAATCTTAACCGCAACTCACCTGTCACCAATATGAGAATCAGTCATCCGAGACGGTGTTTATGCCCCTCATTTAGCTCTGCCCCCCTCAAACAATATATCAGCAGGTACAGAGTAAAATACGAGTCAGTTTCAGTCAAGCATTGAGGACTCCAACAGGATGAATGGCGAAACGTCAGCAAGTTCGTCTCAACAAAAACCACGCAGGAGGAATCCAGAAGTTTTTTAAAAAGTATAACAAACATATCCTTAACAGAAAGTTAAAAAAATCATTGTCTGAAGGGTTGGTTTTGTGTTACGTTTGGCCACTAACGCCATACTACAAAAAATGCAAAACTAACGTATTCGTTTGATATTCAATCTAAAAATCAAAGACCATGCAATTGAAAAGCTGAAAGATAAAAACTTCACCTGGCCTCCTTTTTACATAAGATGCTCAAAACTGGATGTCCGGAATATTTGATGGAAAAAATTACACTCTGGAGTACTGTTCATCATCGTTCTACACGTTATGAGATACCAAAACTGCACAAAGCTATGTCTCAGAATTCATTTTTTTTATGCGAGAGAAGCTTGCTCATCCAGGTCGTTTTTTAAAAAGAAACTGTTAATGGAAGTTATATTTTTGTACTGTTGTTAAATGCAGAATACCCTAGTCAATTTTATTGCTTTAATTATTCTTCTATTGTTTTAATTTTTATTTTTGCCCATTTCAACAGTATTACCGTTTTCTCAAGTTTATTGTTATTGTTAGCTCATTTACTTATTTATTTATGATATTTGTTGTAAATTTTAACTTATTGAAATTTGATTTATTCAATTTTTTTACATGATCGGTTAAGTCAACAGCTCAGCTGCCCTTCGCCGAGTGAATAATAGAGGCATTTTTATTTATTTATTTATAAAAACTAGTTCTTAAAAATAATTTGCAATTTTTATAAGGAAAAATAAGGGAAGGCTTAAGGTAACATAAGGATTTATAATGTGAATGATCAACAATTTGCAAATACCAATATTTTTTTTGAAACCTTATCAACCACACAGGGCAAAAGAAAAGGATATTTTGATCCATCCTCAATGTAACTTTCCTTTTGCTGCTTACGTCGTTTTCTAGCGATTTTAGTTTTAGTCGCGTCTCTTTGTTATTTTGCAAATTGGGGCAATTTACACTGTTCCCCAATTTCTAAAACTGCAGACTAAAATCATATAAAAACAACTTGTTTGCGATAATAAGGATTTTAAATTAATATATTGTAATTTTTTTTTTCAAACCAAAAACTATTATTTAGAACCGTTAGAGTTTAGAGGCGGACTCTCTTATTGCTTTATGTTTTTATCTTATCTCAGTTAGACACGTTTTTCAAAAAACCTGAAGTGAAATCTGGTACCGTTAACATTGTTCCTAAACGCAGCGTTTTTTGTTTGCGTAACTTTCCGCTGGATTTTATCATGTAATGAAAATGATCGGTTCCTAGATTCTGCTGGATTTCATCGCGTGATTAAATGTGCGAGAAGTGAATATCTATCAGTTCACCCTGAACGAGCCTCTCTTCGGAAAATGTTTAAATTGATCTGCGAACATGTCAGCCACTGAACTGTTGCAGACCCAGTCGGTAGCGAAATATCAGTAATTATATGAATAAAATTCATCAAAATCGATTACTCCAATTAAACACTAATGATCGTCTTGGAAGCTGATAGGACAAGGAATTTTTATTTCTTTTGGTGCACGACGTTCGTTCCGTTGGAACTAGCAGAATGAGACGCGAATGACGAACGTCCTCATTATATCAAAATGCAAATTAACCTCTGTTTAGTCTCATAACGCATAAATTGACTTTAAAGCGTGTCATCTCTTTTAATTTCCAATTATCCTTCTGTTTCCCCTTTTCACTTTGTATTCATCGTTTGGCCTATTTAGCGCAGTAATACGCCGAAAGTGCTCCCAAACTGACACGCCGTAAGACGGAATCCGTATTGGAGCAGTGAGAGACTAAATTAGAATTTAAATACTTCTTGCCTTGACAAACAAGTTAATTTAATTTTGTTTGGGCGGGAGCTCCAATATACCAAGACGCCTTTGAACTCCCTCGGGAAATGGGGATACCGTTGCTTGTTTATTTTTTGCGCAATCGGCCATATAAAAGAAATGGAAACTCGAGTTGCTGGGGAGAGGTGGTTGATTAATTTGCATTCCTACGTTTGTGTTGCCTGTTTTTCATACAGATAATGCACGCAGCGCTACGGACTCCATTTCAAGTGGTTGCACCAAAATGAAGAGAACCTTACATTTTTATCGTTAATTGTATATTAATGTACAATATATACAATATGTGTAACTTTCTTTGTACCGGGTGATTTATTAGCTGCGGCGAGGTATCACATTACTGGAACTAATAGTGGAAGTTTGTGAAAAGAAAATATATTTCCATTTTCTTACGAATTTGTGGAAATAAATATATTAATCACACCATTTAAATATCGTAGAAAACAAGTGTAGGTTATTCGGCCTAAAATATCAGAATTTCGAGGAATGTATACTTGTAACCCTCTTAAGTGGTTTTCTGGACCGAGATGCCTGCTACTTGTCATTGCCGCTCGAGTGGCGAAAATGGCGAATCGCCTACATTTTTGACCCATTAGTTGAGATTTATGGCTGTTAGATTATTTTCGCAGGAAAAGAGTTTTTTACCGTTAGAAGGGACCAGTCGGTTGTCGTTTGAGTTTTGACGTGCAAGCACTCGTTTGTTTAGCTCTCCTTACCCTTCGACATCAACTATAATTATATTAAATCCTGACATACACTGTGTTTAATTGACCAAAGTAAAAAATTCCCAAGATAAACACAAGTAACACTGAATTTGATAATCTACCACGCCACTCCTAATGGATCACTCGGTAGGTCAATGCATTTCCATGTGGTCCATTTGAATTGGATCTTGAAATAGTTATAAACGTTTTTTTAGCTATTTAGCATATTGTGACGAGCCAAACGAATGGGCTGAACCCGGCCCTGTCACGGGAACGTTTGTGTTCCAGGAACCCAGATCTAGGGGATCACAGATGTCGCTTGTCGAAAAGATCGTTCGAATATTCCATCTCTATCACGGGCGAGCGCTTTCTTTTATAAAAGTGGTGTACCGCGCTCGCTAGTCAGTCAGTTGAAAAGATAAGATGGTACGCACAAATATAAATAATCAGCGGATATAGATAGAGATTTTGTAAATAACTTAGGGATCCTGTTATTTCAGATAAAACAAAGAGTAGTTTTACGTGGAGTGACTTGTGTAATTTCTCTGTTTTATTTAAGTGTTTGACAATTTTTGTCGGAATAAAAACTTAACCTTAAAAATGCAGTTTTAATTGTCAATGCGCTTGCAAGATTAACTTCATTTGAATTTAAAAAACAACTAATAAATCAAAGACCGTCTACCCAATGGTTCGTATTTCACCGTTTTTATTAAAGCGTTTCACCAACCAAAACAATTTTAGTTGGATTAAAAACTGCTTTTGCGAGATTAACTTCGAAATGGTGTAGCCTTATTTGAGTTTTAAAAATACCTCATACATCAAAGAGTTTTTGCACCAATGTTCAGTCAATCAATCGTGAATGTCAATGTCAATCAATCATTCAATGCTAATACACGCAACATAAACAAGATCCGTAGTCATTACGAGAATTCGTATATTTATCGGTTGAATTTCAAATATTTCACATTCATTTTTACTTTATAAGCAGCTGCATAGTTATGTACACTTAACCCAGTTTGATAAATGTATGAAGATAATAATTTTGCATATCCCATCCCGAATAGTAAAAAAAATACAGGATCAGAGTTGCAAGTTTTCAGCTTAAATAGATAAACGAGAAAAAATACCTAACTTGAAACATGAAATAAAATCATAGAGTAAATGCTAATCTTTTTGCTTCCACAGAATCGATGAGCATAATCGACCTTCAATAATTTTTCAAAGCAAATTCGTTCATCAACAGGACGCAGGAGGAATCCAGAAGACTTTCATTAGCTTTTTTGTTCAATATATTCGAGAAAAATTATTAAAGGCACAACGGAGTTTGTTGTTAACGAAATTTGCTTCGAAATGTTCCCAATTGCTACGGATGGTAAAGAGTTTGGTTATAGGTTAGGACTCGTTATAATCGGTTATAATCACCTAAATGTTAAACATATTTGTTTTCTGGAAATAATAAATGGTTCCATAGAGTATTTTTGACTAACTTTGAGTTAAAGCCCATGCGGAGGTAAAAAAAACACCAACTTTATACCATTGTAAAAGACCACATATACACGAGCTGCTTAGACAAAGTTGTAACTTTCGGCTTTACGATTTAATAAACCGGCGGGGCCGTATACAAAGTTAGTTTTTATTAAAGCGTATAAAGTTTAAAACGCTCAAGAGAACTTCATCGCTCTCTGGCGTCGCTCTTTATACTAAAATGTGTTAAAACATTATACCGCTACATATTTCATTTAATACCTTCGGGTTTAAGCTACGGTTAGTTGAATACTTTAATTTTTATTGCTATAGTCTGAGTCCGAATGGGTGACGTTAATTCGTTTGGCCGGACTTTAGCGAGAGTGCTTGCTTTGTTTGACTATTTGCAACTTTAATTACAATGTGAGAATGAATTTCTCTTGTTTTTATTCCGTTTAAAAGTAAAAATTAAAATCACCAATACTTACACTATAATTCGTTATGTTCATGTTAATAATAATGTATGTAACCTCTATTATTCATGTAGGTGGTTTATTTGTGTTTTCCCGCCAACTGTTCCTCACTGAACTCTATCGAGCCAAAATGACATTGTCACATTTTTTACTGTCAACTGAGTAAATAAATTAATAAAATTTATGTCAGATTTATATTTCTGGTAAAGCGGGAAAAAATGCGTTGTTAGAAGTAAGGCTTTACAAGGCGAAGTGCCCTAATATATTCCAATATATATACTAACTACCTCTTCAGTGTTTAATGGAGCGATTTAATGTTAGTGGTCGTATTGAATATGAAAAACGGAAGGTCGTAAACCGGAATGCTAACAATGAGAAAAAAAATTGCAAATTTTTCTTCAAGTTCAAGATAATTCCCCAGGTGAGTAGCCGTCAAATAGCTAGCTAATGCGATACATTCCAATCTACCGTTAATCACGCCACTATAATACACAAATATCATCCCTTGAATATGGAACTAGGCCAAGAACTTTTAGACCGTGATTTTGAACAAAGGGAACATTTCTGCAGTATTATAAATGAAGCAATAGAGGCCAATCCAAATTTTTTGTTAAAAATGATGTTTTCCGATGAAACTGCTTTTCGCAGTAATGGTGCAGATAATCGTCATAACATGCTTTATAATTCAACAGTTAATCCATTCTGTGTGGTGTGGAATAAAGCATTTTAAAGTTATTTATTGGACCATTTTTTTTTTCACAATATTTTAACTTTTTGCAGATTGTTTAAATAACACCACTAGATTTGTTTTTGCGGGGATATGTTATAGATCGTGTTTATATGAATCTCCCTACAACACCAGAAGATATGGAAAATAGGATTCGGGACGCATGCAGGAAAATAACATCGATTATAGAAAATATACAAAAAAGCCTAATAGGTATATAAAATTCAAGGGCATTTGTGTGAACATTTATTCCTTCATAATATTAATTAAAAATAAGATACGTTAACTTGTGGTAATAGGGATTTAATAATATTTACTTTTTCTGTTAATTTAAAATTTGGCCGTTATTTTTACCAAAATTGCTAATAATTGTTTTTTGTTTTATCTACGGTTCCAACGAAGTTTTTCTCGTGTCCCTATTTTGATCTTAACCGAGCTCTGTTGGCTAACAGTTTTGCCATGACCAACTAATATTAGAAAGAAGGGTAAGTATTGGAAAAGTCAAAATAAATCAACAGGTATTAACAATAGGGGAATGACATACTTTTCTAACAAGTAATAATATATATGCCATTTTAGAAAATCGAGATTTTTCAATTAAAAATTATGCAAATATCTTCGTTTATTTTGAATACGCTATAGCATCTAATTCAAATTTCGTTGCATATTATGTATTATTATAAATAAAAAAGTAGAAGAATTTCAAAAGGAATTCAAAATTTTAAAATGTATATTTTAAAATAATTTTAAATAGTACGTTCTAACAAACAAACATATTTACATAGTCGTTTAATTTCCAATTGTCAAGGAGAAGACATCTTGATTTTTTCCAGTAACTCAACTCAAAAGTATTTTTTTTATTGGTTTGGTGGAAATGTCAACCCAACACTTATGGTAAATCTTCCAATTCAGCGGAACCACCAATTAAATACGAAAATAAAAACCTGTAATTAAAATGCGTTTCTGTGGAATTGCAGAGATCAAAATGTCGCGCGAAACTGTTCACCGCCCCCGATCGACCATGGTTTTTCGCAATTCTCAAACAAGCAATTTTAAAATTAAAAGCGGAATCGGAGAGGTGGAAATATTAATTACGTTTCTGGTTTCGCTATACCCCCAGGTGCAGCGAAAAATATTTAAATTGTTGTGGTCGTATCCGAGGGCTGAGTAGAAAGAGGCCCTCGCCTCACAGTACAACAAAACCTAACTTTTTTCAAAAGAATCGTATCTTTTAAGATAATTTCAGTTTATATTTGAAATTTTGCTGTTAAGTTTAGTCCAACGCATGCAATATTTTAGTAGCCAAAATTTGCCGCTAACAAGGCCAGCTAAACAGATTTTTCTCAAAAACCTAATTACTTTTCTTGTCAACTGGTACAAGGAAAAAGGTTTGCGTTCTTTATCCGGAAAAGCGTTAATTATTTTGGCTTATATATATTTTTTTCAATGTTTTGAGTGAATACTTTCAGTTAGACAGTTTCCTACAACAATGGCACTTGCTTTTTAGCATCAACCAAACCAAAAAATTACTAAATTATTTACACTGTGAAACAAAATGCAATTTTCCGATGTTCCCGGACTCGGAAAGACTTATGAGTGTTAGTTGCTGTATTTTGTCTATATAGGGTTTACGAAAGCCTGCTTTCATTAATTCGTGAGTATAGTTTATAAAAATTTAAAATTTAAAATGGGATTTTGCCTCCTACGCTCTGTTAGCCGCCGGCCAACAAAGTAGAAAAAAATCCCATGAAACAAATCGACAGCGAGGAGAGGGTTTCATTTCATTATCTGAAAATCACATGCAGGTATGCCCCTTCTATTTGTTGATTTGAAACAATAAAGCGGACTGTAAACCTATTAAGACGATTACTATTTCAGGTAGGACGGATGCGATGCAAAACGCGTCTGCTTTTGACAACAGCCCACAAAGGCACTAATAATCTATTTCGCTAACGGATAACGTTGTTAAGCGATTTAAATGTAGTCTTGTCACCGACCGCCGTCGTCGATCCCTATGACGATGGTGATGTAATCTCATCTGCAAACTCAGTTGACGTCACCACGAAATCAATATTTGCAGTTGTTTTTTGTTTATAATTCTGCCGTGTGCTGTACTTTCGAACACAGAGTTTTGAGAAAAACGTGAATTTCGTATGAAGATTTAAATTTAGAGCGAAATAATTGAAATTTGTTTTTTTTTTGGTAACACGGATTTGTTCACTATCCCTTACGACAGACACCATACATTCTAGACTTCTGAGTCTACACTGATCATCCAATTATGTTTATTATGTTTGTTTCCATTTTCCTTTTCCTTCCATGAGAAACGAAACTGACGCGGTAAAGTGACGCTTCCCGCACGCTAGAACGGCGTGTAATTAGGCATTTTACAGACGGGAGTAGAAAAAATTAATTACACACCGATCTAGCGTGCGGGAAGCGTCACTTTACCACGTCAGTTTCATTTCCCGCAGATCCGAGCCACTTCGGACAATTCCGGGATTTTACCGCACGAGTTTGAGTGCAATCGCATGTTTTCGGAGATATTTCCCATGCCTTGAATTTTGACGTTTCTCAATTCTAACGGTCATGTCAGTGAATGTATTCATATTTTGTTGCAAAAATGTATAGTATAGTATGCAACACGATTTTTTATACTTTTTTTGCCACACACAAAAAAATGCACATATACAAAATAACTGTTAACTACAGAAATAAAACCTTCTGATTTAATACTTAAATTTTCTAATACTTCGTTGTTTTTTTATGTCAGACGGGAAGGGAATTTGTTATATTATCACAGTGCAATTCCCTAAACCTTGTCGGGTTAAACGCCTGTGGCAGCTTTAATTAGCTTAATAATCAAATATGAAGGAGCTTTATTTTTTGTCAGTGTATATGTAAAGCAGCTCATATACAGCCATGTTATACATTTAATTATGCTTGAGTTATGAAGACTTTAAAGGATTGTCGATCACTGTTCATTATGAGAGCCCAGTAAAATAATCCAAAATATGCGAGTTGAGACAGACAGTAGAAAAGCTTAAGTAAATTAATTAAGTAAGTAATTTAATTAAATTAATTAAGTTATTAAAATTAAAAATTAATTTAAATTAGGTAAATTATTCACCACGCGATTTTAGTCGCAAGTTTCATTTAATTAAAAAAATAATAAACGAGTGATTGAAGAAGTTTATCAACGTGTTGCATACAGTATTAATAGATTCACTGAGCCACCGTAAAATCTGAAAAAAGTTAACGTCAATCTAAAAATATATTGTAGTTGCTATTATTAGAAAAATATTTTCTTCCAAAGACCAAGACATTGTGCATCGGAAATCAAAAGTATCCTTTTATTAACATTTGAATTATTTCTAAAGATTATATTAATTATATTAAAAGATTAGCATAACTAAAATGAAATTAGAGTCGACAATTTCAATTTCAGTTGTTTTTATGTCTCTGTGTGACATTATTTAATGTTTAATCAGATCATGTGCGATTCAATAACCAATATTTACCAGTTTTTCATTAAAATGATATTGGCAATAATTCCTCACAAAAGAATGTAATCATTTAAAATTATTATAATGTGGATTCGCTCACGTGGCGAAGTGCAATTTTCCCTCAACCAGAATAAAATATGACTTGAATTTAATTACTTTTATTTATCCCCGGCATTTAATTTTAAATAATGATAGTGCTATATGCGTCGAGGTTTCCGATTTTATAATTTTAAATGTCGCCAAAATTTTCTGTGAAAATAAATATATTTAAAAAACGTTTATCAGGAACTTTGAACCGCTGTTTAGTTTTTTTTTGGTTAACAAAGAGATTTTTATGCTCAGCCAAAAATATGACATGCACAAAAGTTTTAATATTTTTAGTACGTTAATGTTATATACACGTTAGTCCATAAAAAATCAAAAGTGCGACCCTCTGAAACATACCGATGGAGTTGATTAAAATGAAATGAAAAAAAACGGGAGAACAAAGCTCAAATGTTGTGCCTGGTTTGCTTGCTTCTAAAATGTTTCCAATATTGAAAATGAGCGAAATGTCAGAGGCAGATTTGTTTGTGTGTGTTTAAAGAATATATTAAAATTCTTATTTCGACAGTACCGTAAATGTTAATTTTGGCTCCTTTTCGACGTCTCTTTTGCAAATTAAAATTCCAAATGCGTACATAGAAATTTAATTATCTGATGTTGAAAAAGAAATATACTAAATGAAATTAAACTTTGTCCGGTCTCATGATATTCCGATTCATTGAAAATGTATATACGTTTTCCTTATTATTTTATAATTTTCTTAATAATATACGCTTGAAAGAATTGTACTTTACGCAACAATTTTAGAATTTCTTAATATGAACGAAATTAGAAAAACAAAATAATGCAAACATTTACCACGTGTCAACTGAAATTTTTATAATATTTGCAAACAGACTATATTGTTATACAATGCTTCACGTCAGTTTAGAGATCGCGGAAATTTCAACTCGAATTTTCATCCATTAAAACTCTTAAACAAATAGTGTACATCTATTCCCAGATAGCAGAGAGTCGCCAAAATGACTTTATTAACTAGTCACCAAATGAAGTTATATATGACGTTATATATGACCTACTAATGTCTCGACGAATGATGTCCTTTAACTGAGGTCTTTTTACGTCAATTAGTGTCATCATTTGTCAAAAATGTAATTATTTTTGAATCGGTTTTTTTCTTTTTGGAGTGGAAAAATCGAAAGTAAATTAAGTAAACTAAATTACATAGAACGTCTTTTGGGGTTGCGGAAAATTTACAATTATAGTTTTGGTTAGTTTAGTTAGTTAAAAAAATATGGAATTATAGTAAATAAATAAAGACGGGCCTTTCTTTAAAAAAAAAGTATAATGGAAGTATAATATACAGGGTGTTCTAGTTGATTGTTTCAAGAAAATTATTATTTTTGATTTTGACTTACCCTAT